GCGATCTCTTTTACCTTTTATTACGATAGAATACAGTAATCTTGTATGTTTAGATTATTTGTTATTGACGGAAAATACTTTAGCACTTTCCGTTAGTATTAACATTTTTTTTTTAAAACACTTGCTCTGCTTAATGTTCGTTGCATAATGCTGCTCATTTCTTTAATTAAACAAGCACACGTGTGCCGCAATTGCACACAGATCTGTGTATTGAAGTTTAAATTTAATTTTGAAAGAAAAAAAAAAAAAAAAAAAAAACACTTTATCAATCGGCGGCTCTTTTTTTTTCTTTCTTTTACATAAAACAAAATTATGGGCTTACCGTACTGCTGAAATTGCATTTAGTATTAAATATTATATTTTAACAGCGATACCATTATTATTATTATTATTATTATTATTATTATTATTATTATTATTATTATCATTATCATTATCATCATCATCATCATTATTATTATTATTATCATCATTATTATTATCATCATTATTATTATTATTATTATTATCGATATAATCGGAGTATTGGTGATATATTGATTTCGTTATAGTAAATGCCCGTCGACGTTCTATAATGAATAATAATAATAAATAATTGAAGTGAATAAAAATAAAAAATTGAAGTGAATTGAAATGAATAATAATAATAAATAATTGAAGGAATTGAAATAATCAAGGATACGTGGTTTTAATAATTTGTCTTTAAAATTATATCATATTGATTCATTCACAAATTTCTAGCATAATATAAGCAAATGATAAAATCGTATAAATATTGTTTACTACGATTATCGACGACGAGTCACCTTAAGAATTCGAAAAAATATTTCTTGTGCATTTTTTACGTTGACAGTTCTACGGAATACGGAGTGAATTTTTTTGTTTTTTTTCTTAGGTAATGAGATTTTAGTAAATTATTATTAATTCCTTTATCCTTAACGTTTCACGCGAAATTTTTCCACTGCCACTTAACTTTTATTGATTTATCAACAAACGCTACCATCATTGAATTTTATACAAAAAATTTTTCTCACCAAGTAACACGACCGCATCGATCTATGAATATTTTGAATCTACATTTTGTCGTCAATAAAATTATTATCAACACGAGCATTGCCATACGAAAGCTACTTTATGGAGTATTTTATAAATCACTCGATCGCTACTCGTTTGACAATCAATTGGGCTAAATGCATTTCCCAAAATTAGTACCGAAAACAAAAAAAAAAAGGCTTAATCTTCGCGAAAAATGTCCGTGAGACTTGGACAGATTAATATTACTGCATTGCGGTGAATACGTAATAGTCGTGAAAGACGAAAAGTGACGAATGAAAGCATAAAATAACCAGAATCTTGTTTTTTTTTTTTGTTTTTGGTATCCCAAACGACGGCTCGGAGACAATCGTGAAAAATTGCTCGTCTTGGGTTATAAACGTTGCGAAAAGATTGCGTTTTTATCGAAAAATAAGAATGAGATAGAGATGGGAGGGGGGGGAAGGGTGGAGGTGGGGGGAGGGAGGG